CTCTGGTTAAAGTAGATCTCAAACATTGCACTAATAAAACACAACCCTTATTCCTAAACGAATAATCTAAAATTTGCTCTAATTGCGAAAAATCAGTTCAAGAATGTATTGCATACCACTCGGCAATGCAGCTACTTGCAAATAAGAAGTAGGCAGTTTTCTTTTAATCAAAGTTTAAATAGCTAGCAAGCATAAAACCACTTCCGTTTTTTTTTACTTTCTCGTATATACGAAGTATAGAGAAAGTATTGTAATCGTGCAAAAAAAAATCGAGATTTTTACAAATCTCGACGTTTTACATCTCACTGATACGGAAAAACATAATTTTGCAATCTTGTCCGTATGTCTGTGTGTCTGTGTGTGTATGTGTGTGTGTGTAAACACGATAACTTGAGTACCGTTACAGCTAGGTTGATGAAATTTCATATATAAGTATTTTATCAAAATCGTAGATCCGTATCAACTTTTGAGCGATTTCCGATAACCGGAAGTGGTACTTTTCCTACTTTGAATTTTCAAAAGACTATAACTTGAGTACTTTTTCAGATAGATAAATGAAATTGCACATGTAAGTAAAAAGTCTAATTATGCACCTTCTGTCAAAATTTGAGTAATTTCCGTTGACCGGAAGTAGTAATTCCGATTTCTCAAAAAACTAATGTAAATTTTTAAAGTACTAATAATATTGCGCACTATTATGCACTTTTTTATTTAGCGTTCACTTGGTGTGCAATTCTTTTGTCTACGAGATTTTATTCTATTTTTACAAGCTTTTATTTAACTCACTTCCTCTGTCTGTCGTCAGTCTAGACGGAAACGCAGGAGTGAAAATTCGGACAGTTCTACTTGACCGACACGATTCACAGTTGGCACGTGGGTCAAGACATGAAGACAATGCAATCTGAAACTAAATTTGACTTAATTGGATGCCTAATTGATTTTTTATGAATTAATTAAAATTTGGACCGAATTAGTAGGCATGTCTAGCCAACCACACCACACGCGTCATCAATAGCTGCGCCATCACGACCACGTAATGGCTGCGTTCAAAAACCATTGCGCGCCTACTGAACGTGATATTCAGTAGGCGCGCAATGGTTTTTAGTCATGTAACTCTATTGTAGATAAAACATGTAAAGTACTGAAAAAAAAATTCATAAAAAACGTTTTAATAACAAGCTTTTATGTAATGATGCACTAAAAAGTAGAAAATAAATTATAGACTACTATTTAAATAACTATAAAGAAAAGCGTGGGTGTCTTCCTTAACATTAGTAAAGGTATCCAATAGATACTAAAGTGACCCACGCTTTTCATTATAGTTATTTAAATAGTAGTCTATAATTTATTTTCTACTTTTTAGTGCATCATTACATAAAAGCTTGTTATTAAAACGTTTTTTATGAATTTTTTTTAAAACTTTAAGTATTTAAAATGGATTAAAAATCATGTCTATAGCCCGAGCTCCAATCCCCTGTCATTTTACATAAGAATATTCGAGAAAGTTTAGGGGAGATCACTCCCGGATTATTTTTACTATTTCTAGCAAACCGGAAGTATGGATTCTGGCAACAAAATTTTGGAACCTGAATATCAAGTCTAATGAAGTCGCTTTTCTGTATTGACCTTAGCAGAATCCTAGTTTATTAAGACTAACAATAGCATTTATTACACTGTTTATTTTTTATGAAAGGATTGTAATTATTCAAATATAGCAAGTTTAAACAATGATAAGTCTGCCTTAATAGCCGCATAATTCCACATTCTTCTTACAAGTGTTTATTAACTCAATTCTTCTGTCGTCAGTATGTCGTCAGTCTGTCTAGATCGAAACAGCGGAGCGAAAATTCGGACACTTCTACTTGTCATATACCATTCACAGTTGGCACGTGGGTCAAGACATGAAGACAATGCAAATTGACATTAAATTTGACTTAATTGGATGCCTAATTATTTTTTTATGAATTAATTAAAATTTGGACTGAATCAGTAGGCATTTCTATCGAACCACACCACACGCGTCATCACGTTCAATCGGCGCGCAATGGTTTTAGTCATGAATCTCTATTGTAAATAAAAACATGTAAAGTACTAAACAATTTTTTTCATAAAAACCGTTGAAATAACAAGCTTTTATGTACTAATGCACTAAAAAGTAGAAAATAAATGTTAGACTACTATTTAAATATATATAAAGAAAGGCGTGGGTCTCTAGCTAAACAGTAGTAAAGGTATCCAATAGATACTAAAGTGAACCACGCTTTTTTAAATAGGTATTTAAATAGTAGTCTATAATTTATTTTCTACTTTTTAGTGCATTAGTACATAAAAGCTTGTTATTAAAACGTTTTTTTTATTTAAAAATTTTCTATTAAAAAATCATTACCGTTAAATACTTTTTCCAGTGTTAGTAAAATTGATTTTTTTTTTTTGTTTATTTTGTTGAGACAGAAAAAAAAATTCTACTTGTTAATATAAAATTTTATGCAAACACCAAAGACAAAACACAAAAATGTCCGTGTGAAGAACATGTTTTAAATCACTTTTTAGAAGCTTAGAGAAACCCCTTGATCCAATGACAATTGACATGATTGTAAGAGAACTCACTCCAATGCTATTAATGCAATTAATATTTACGCTCAGAGTTTCTTCCAGGCATCTCGTTTACCGCCCCCCCCCCCCGAACGAAATGAAATTTATATAATTTATATAGAAAATATATATTTTTAACAGTGTCCGCCCCCCCCCCCGAAGAAAGTCTACCGCCCCCCCCCCCCCCCCCGAAAATTTCAAGTGCCCCCCCCCCCCCCCCCCGGAGAAAAAAGTCTGGAAGAAAAACTGTTTACGCTTGTAGCACATTTGTAATAAGGACATTTTATTCTTTTTAATTCACATTTATGCCGCCAGAAGATTGGGTATAGTGAGATGTAATATGTATTATCCCTTATGTGTATTACTTGGAGTATCAGCGCCTCCATAAAATATTACTACACCTAAGATACAATGTTACATTGTATATTGTATTTTTCTGGCGCGCACGTAATATGATTTTAACTGTAGAACGTTCAATTACTTTCAAGATTATTAGTCATTTTTAAATAAGTGCACAGTATGAGTATAACAGTGTTTGTGCTGTTGAAAGTGTAATGGATGACCCAAAGCTCAAAAACTGGGTTTTATTATGCATAGTAAAGTGTACGCCTTTGTGGTTTTAGTACATAAATAGATAGCTGATCGAAAACGAAGTAAGGCAACATTATGGTGAATGCTAAGCAAGACGCTAACCATTCCTTTCAAAGTAGAAAAAAAAATACTCGATTACCATATTCTTACAGGAAAGAAACAATGCATATTTTATTTGTAAATTTTAATTAAACATAAAAAGAAATAAATATACAGTCATTTTAATAGGTTGAAAAAAATATTAAGCTGTATATTATTTTACATAAGCTGTCTGTATCCTCATGTGACATTTGTTACAAGTTACACATCTGCGAAAGTTGAAACTATTACACATTACATTCCTATACTAATTCATACATCTGCAATTTGGTAATTGGTAATTGGTAATTGGTAATGGGTAATGGGTAATGGGTAATGGGTAATGGGTAATAGTTAATGGGTGACGGGTGATGGGTAATGGGTAATGGGTAGTGGGTAATGGGTAATGGGTAGTGGGTAGTGGGTAGTGGGTAGTGGGTAGTGGGTAATGGGTAATGGGTAATGGGTAATGGGTAATGGGTAATGGGTAATGGGTAATGGGTAATGGGTAATGGGTAATGGGTAATGGGTAATGGGTAATGGGTAATGGGTAATGGGTAATGGGTAATGGGTAATGGGTAATGGGTAATGGGTAATGGGTAATGGGTAATGGGTAATGGGTAATGCGTAATGGGTAATGGGTAATGGGTAATGGGTAATGGGTAATGGGTAATGGGTAATGGGTAATGGGTAATTCGTAATGGGTAATGGGTAATGGGTAATGGGAAATGGGTAATGGGTAATGGGTAATGGGTAATGGGTAATGGGTAATGGGTAATGGGTAATGTAATTGTAATTGTAATTGTAATTGTAATTGTAATTGTAATTGTAATTGTAATTGTAATTGTAGTTGTAGTTGTAATTGTAATTGTAATTGTAATTGTAATTGTAATTGTAATTGTAATTGTAATTGTAATTGTAATTGTAATTGTAATTGTAATTGTAATTGTAATTGTAATTGTAATTGTAATTGTAATTGTAATTGTAATTGTAATTGTAATTGTAATTGTAATTGTAATTGTAATTGTAATTGTAATTGTAATTGTAATTGTAATTGTAATTGTAATTGTAATTGTAATTGTAATTGTAATTGTAATTGTAATTGTAATTGTAATTGTAATTGTTAACCCGAATGTCTTTATTTTGGGCTCGAGTCTTGGAACGTTCCTTAGTAAACCTTCCTCTAAATGCAGTTCATCCGACTGACAACACTCTATTCGAGCTCACTGAAGCAGATGAACTCTACTTTATCTACACAATAGATAACCAGTTACCGAATCGAATTGATTAGAAAGTTATTGAAACCAATGCTTCTAAAAAAGTGCAATTAGTTATATACAGTGTTTACGATGCCAACATTTTGATTAAAACTGTTATGATTTATAGATTGTGAAAATCCTATATAACTGTTATCTAAAAATATTCATTTCGTGATTTAGATAGCCTCATCACTACAGTATTTAATTAAGTTTAGCCGAGAGTATTTAATCTGAGATTTTTAAAGAAAAATACTTAGTAGTGTTATTCAATTTCTGATTTAAAATGACGCTTTATGAGTCTTAAAGTGAAGAAAAAATTACACATTTAATTCTAAACTTGTAATGTTTTTGGAAGTTTTCAAATTATTCAATATAACCAGAAAAAACAGAAGAAGCTTTAAAGTATAGAAAAAACATCATATTTAATTTGATTTTCTTTTGTTCTTTTTGTTGTTTTTACATTTTTAATAATGCGCTTTTTATATTCTGTAGTAACCAGAAAAAAAACAGAAAAAAACATTGATAAGTTTCAATACACAATATACCGAAACCAAAGTTTTAAGCTGTTACGTATTTGTGTTCATTCTTGAAAACGGCATGCGGTGTGGCGTCTTTTCTATAAACGTTCAGTATCAATTTACTTGTAGAATAATCTAGTTTTTTACCTCTGAATGGACGAAGACTCTACTTGAACAGGATTTGAATGTGTTTTTCTACTAATTGATAGAGAAGCGAGACAGTTATCAATCTGCAACGCATTCATAAAGGCAATACTTAGAAATAAATCAAGTTTTATATTTTATAATATTACATTTAAATAGTAAATTTACCTTCTTGAACAGATTTGCATGAATACCAAAACGCATACCAAAAATATACTGAAAATTATGAAAACTTGCTCATCCAATGTAAGTAAATTTTGTTTCGGTGAAACAATAGCTTCAGTTTCATTTTCCACATTTTTTTTAGATGTTCTGATCGTTGAATTAACTAAAAAAAAATTTCATTACATATTTTATTCGCAGACATAAGCATAAGAATATATGTAGAAGATATAAATACAACCGTACGCAAATATGCACGTACACACATACATGCAAAAGTACAAGTACGCTTGATATATACCATCTTATCTGCTCAATAAAGGTTAAGTGATATGCAAGAAATTAACCTTGTAATAGAATCTAATCTTCCCATTTATTTAGAACTTTTTTAAAAGACAATTTCAGGTAACTGATATTAATTGCTTAATCAGACCTTACGGTTTCTTTTTAAATTTATTTCATACTTGAAAATATTCGCCTATATAATATGTTTGTATCTGATAATAAATCAAACGATAAATAAAAAATTAGGCTGGGTACTTACAATCGAGACAATACGACCCTGTGTGACCAGGTACACACAACTTGCAAACACCGGTGAACTGGCAGTCTTTATTTTTGCAGGACATTAAACATACTTGATCACAGTCTGGGCCATAATATCGTGTCGTGCAGTCTATGAAACAAATAATAATCATTAACTGCAATGACAGAAGTGAATATTGCATTTTTAAACAATCGAAAATAAATGACCGATTTATTATATGTTATAATACTTTGAAACGTTGGAAGTTATTTAAGTAAGGCTTTTTTAATTTAATAATTTCGTATTCATTTAATTTGAAAAATATAGGATTTTTTTTTAATTTACGAGACAAGAGCCTAAAATAGCTAACTAAACTTAATGGATATTCACACCAAAAAGAAATATGAGACATTTACCACCAAAAACTTCTAATTCACACAATGAAATCACGTCGCTCGCAATGATCAATAGTTTCATCACCCTTCCACTTTTTAGAATGTTTATCTTATATGGCAGCAAAAAACTCTCAATATTTGTTGTAAAAACTAAATGGTTTTCATCGTTGTACAGCTCGACTTTAAATGTATGCATTGATGTTATTCGATTTCCTAGAAATAAACGACTTCGTTAGAAATAAAAACAGCTTTTATTTATTTAATTTTTTTTCTTCCTATCTTACATATTTTAATAACTTTAGCTGACACAAATTATTAACTAATTATTATTTTTTAAGAATAGCAGGCAAATTAACAATTCTTACCAGAACTATAGATTAAAATTTGATAAATAACTCTTGGCCATTCAAACGTTGATTCCCAAATGAACTCTTTTCCCGGTTCGACAATGGTGAAACAACCGATGTCATCTTTGTCATCATCAAACACTCCTTGCAAATGTGTAGCAGCAGTTAATGGGAGTCGTTGCCCATTCGAATAAATTACTATGTTAGACTCTTTAATAATATTTCTTCCTGGTTAAGTGTTAAAGTTTAAAATGTAAGCTCATTTAAACTAAATTGTAGTTTACCACACACACACAAATACACAAACACACAAACACACACACACACACACACACATATATATATATATATATATATATATATATATATATATATATATAATTATATATATATATATATATATATATATATTAATTTATATATACACACACAAACACACACACAGACACACACACACACATATATATATATATATATATATATATATATATATATATATATATATATATATATATATATATATATTGCAACACTTACCGCCATTCACTATTATGCCACAAACTGAGACAAATGAGTTCAATGTTATGTTAATTTCAGTCACAAATGAATCTGTGTCACATTCTGTCTCCAAATTGAAATTATCGATCCAGTAGGTCATTTGCTTTCCACATTTTATTACGACTCCATCCAACGAAGTAAATATAATAGATAAATTGATTATTTTTCCTAAAATATAGTAAGTCAAAAGCTTTTAAACAATAAAAAATAGTAATGACTAAAGAATCAGAAGTTTATTACAATTTTATGTTAAGCAGAGGTTTTAAAGATTATACTAATAATTGTTTGGTATTTCAAAAATATAAATCTTTGATTTAACATTGGATAAACGCTAAGATAATATTTTCAATACAAAAGTTAAATGCATAATACAATATATAACGGTCCCCTTACTTTTCTTTATATTTATATTTAAAAAATGTACATAATTAGAAATTTATAGAATTGTTACAAGCTCTTGTTTAACTTCCTTCCTCTGTCAGTCTGTCGACGGTCTGTCAATCTGTTGTCAGTCTGTCGTCATAGATCAAAACGCTCGAGTGAAATTTCGAGCACCTCCAACTGACAGATTCAGTTCAAATCTGGCAAGTAGGCCAAAAAATGAAGACAATGCATTATAGCACTAAATTTGATCTCATTATTCCAAAACATTTATTCATGAACTGATTAAAATTGCGTCCATATGAGTAGGCTGTCTTAATCAACCATTCCGCACAATAATACTCACGTAATCATGTTCATTAGGTATGCAATAATTTTCTAGTTACGCAACTCTATTGTAAATTTTTTAAATATTGAAAAAATATAGCCAGGTGTGATCTCCCCTAAACTTTCTCGAAAATTCCTATTTAACACTACGGTGAATGGCAACTCTGGATATAGACGTGATTTTTAAAACATTTTAATAACATAATAGAATGTGGTAGAAAAAAAATTGCTCACAAGTGAACGGTAAACAATATGTTAATAATAGTGCAGAATATAATTAGTACTTTATAAATTTATAGGCGTTTTTTGAGAAATCGGAAATAGCGTTAATTACTACTTCCGTTCAACGAAAATTACTAAAATTTTTACCGAAGGCAGAAAATTAGATCTTTTACGTAAATTTTATTTTTTTAACTATCTCAAACAGTACTCAAGTTATAGGCTTTTGATAAAATAAAATAATAATGGCTACTTCAGGTTACAAACAGAACTACAAATTTGACAAAATACACACACACACACATATATATATATATATATATATATATATATATATATATATATATATATATATATATATATATATATATATGACAGGACAAATGATCTTAGACAACATATCTCAGACAAAATATCTCACGGACTAATGATCTCAGGACAAATGATCTGAGGACAAATTATCTCAAGGACAAATGATCTCACGGACAAAAGATACTAGGACAAAATATATATTGCACTAAACCATTTAAAATTAAGATTACTGATATAGTATGTAAAGATTATAGAAATTTTTCGATAGACAACGTAGGTGAGCTTGTCAAACATGAGACCATGTCAGGTGGACGAAACTAGATCAAAGGGAATTAAATAACAATAAAGACACACATTCGTATCAAGTTGGTCGCCCGCTTTGATGGCAGACATGCCTTAATGAAAAGACATCCGCCCTCTATAATACAACTAGCATCTAAAGTCAATAATTATGCGTCAATAATTATGGTCACACCTTCGTGTGACATTAGTTTCTGGTGAATTTATGTTTATAAAAGTCAGAATTGGAGCAGCAGTCACAGAGATTTGGAAATGTGAATTTAGGACATGTCAAGCAAGAGTTCTCACAATATATTGTAACATTACATTATAATGGAGAGGTGCGATCATAACAATGTACCTGCCGGTATAGAAACGTAAGCGTTATGTTTGTGTTGCTGATGCAATAAAAACAATAGTTTTACTATATGAACACATTTCGCGTGTTTTGAACAACAATGTTATTTAGCTACCGTTACTTTATTTGTGTTATACATTATCATTTATTTATTTATTATGCATTTCATGAGTTGGTTTTAATTTTTACTTTTTCGAATTAAATGCTATTACAAAGATTAAATTTAATAAATATTTTGATGCCTTGTTAAGTTTAAGAAAATCATTATTATGCTTAAAAAGGAAACGAAACCATTTTGACAGTCAATAAAACAAATTTCAAATCAACTAAAATCATCGTACATATTATTAAAATTTTGCTGTGAGATATTTTGTCTGAGATCATTTGTCCATGATTTCATTTGTCCTGATTTATTTTGTCCTGGTATCTTTTGTCCTTGAGAAATTTTGTCTGAGATATTTTGTCAGAGATAATTTGTCCTGAGATCATTTGTCATAGAACCATATATATATATATATATATATATATATATATATATATATATATATATATATATATATATATATATATATATATATATATATATATATATATACAAATAATTTCAAAAACCTCGCGATAACGTACTCAAGTTATCGTGTTGACTTGACAGACAGACACACATACATACACACATACACATGCAGAGACATACGGACAAAATTGCAAAATTATTTTTTTCAGACTCATGGACGTATGAAAAGATTGCGTTTTTTTGTACGATTACAATATACCTCTTAACTTCGTATACACGAAAATAAAAAAGAACAGGAATATTATATAATAGTGCCATTTTTGAAAGTTGTGTAAAATCGGGTCGTAAAAAAAAACATAAATTATAGCATTCTAAAAAGTATTTTTTTCTCTTTACTAACCCATGTGGTATGAATGAATGATAACAAATAAAATTTAAAGTCTATCATAAATCCAAGTCTCAAATTTGTAAACGCAATAAAAAATCAAATTACTTACTTTTGACTTCGAATTTTATTAGAACTGATTTAAAATAAAACTCATCCATAAACTTCATCAGAATATGATTTGTGTATGAACAGCTTTCAGCTTTAAGTAAACTTGCGGGCATTGTTTGATTTGCAGAAAATGTAAGATCTCCTAAATCAACAAAATTATAAATAATAATTGTGAATTTTAATAAATACACGAATATCCCAATAACCAATGAACTATCGATCAAATAAAAAAAATGATTTAAGAACGGATGAGAGGTTAACATAATAGAAATAACGTATATATGAGTGGCTAGGTAATTTATTTTAATTTTACGAATTTTCTAAGCTTGCAGTGATAGCACATTTTTGTCTTAAAGTAATGGGTTAGTGATATATGGGGAATTTATTTTAGCTTAATGTTACTTAGCTTATTTTTTATCTACATTTATTGAGAATCGTCTGCACATATTGAGCTATTAAAATTGGTTTAAATACACACATGGGGATGGATAAGTCGGTTTCTGAATATAGCGTAACGAGAAAATGCGAAAAGGAAAAATGCTCTAACAGTAAATTACGCACATAAAAAATATGAGATGAGGTAACTGCGTAATAAAAGAAAAGCACTCAACTTCAGAACTGCGTACATTGAAAAATGTGTAAATATAAATATGCGCATACTGGTTATTTTTTTTTAATTCTTGTTTATATCTTAATTTATTTGAAATACCAACGCCTAATACTTACTGTATACACAATCAGGACCATACCAGCCCGACTGACAACCATGGCCTGGAGACATTTCTGAAAAGTAATACGATTTTAACAATTTTAAACAGTAGATCATTAAGACTAAAGAAAAAGCAGAAAAGTAAACACAACAGACCAAGAAAAAAAAGAGGGAGTTATCTCCCGAAAACCTTTGCGAATATTCTTATATGAGACATCGGGGGAATATCAACTCGATGCATAGACATAATTTTTTAATCAATTTTTAATTGCTTAAACTTTTAAAAATAAATAGAATGTTCGTAGAAAAGATAATTGCGCATCAACTGAACAGCAATCAATATGTAAATAATAGTGTGGAATATTAGTACTTTATAAATTCACATGCTTTTTTTTTTTGGAGAAATCAATATAGCGTAAAGTACTAGTACAGTTAAACGAAATTACTAAAAAAATTGACAGAAAGCAGAGAATTAGATTTTTATTTATATATGTGGAATTTCGCTTATCTATCTGAAACGGTACTAAAGTTACAGGCTTTTGAAAACCAAAAGAAGTATAAGTTCCACCTGCGGTTACCGGAAATCGCTGAAAAGTTGATGCAAAATTACCTATTTTATACTTAAGGAAATAAACCGTGAGTGATCTCCCCTAAACTTTGTCAAATATTCTTATATATCTCTATGGGGGATGGCAACTCGGGATATAGACAATATTGTTAATCAACTTTTAATTACTTAAACTTAAAAAAAAATAGAATAGAATCTCGTAAAAAACAAATGCGCACCAAGTAAACGCAAAAAAATGTGTATAATATTGAGGAATATTATTAATCTACGAGAAAAATCGCCCGTTGAGAAAGCGCTAGGTTGATAGTGCTGTCTATTTTCTCTAATCTAAAACCAAAACCAAAATCACCACCTTAATTCAATTTAAATGACATTGAAAACGGATTTTTATCCAGAATCGGTACTTTAATTTATACAAAATATAGTCATAGGCGTATTCCTAAACCATGCAACTAATCTCATTCATGACATGTCGCATTTAGAGTTTCTTTCAGGCAACTCTACTTGGGAGGAGGGGGCTCCGCCACTTCCCCTCCCCCCCCCCCACACACACACACCCCAAAACTTGTCTACCATCCCATTCAACGAAATATAATTATATACTGTTTCCAGTGTCCGCCCCCTCCCACAAAATTCTACCCCCGCCCCCCAAAAAATTCAAGTATTCCCATCCCTCGCCGGGAAGGAAAAAGTCTGAAAGAAACACTAGTCGCATTTGTAGATCATGCAAACTAAAGGAAGAACCTTGGCGGGGCTTCGCCCCTACCGGAAGAGATGCATGAAAAAAACTGTGCACGCTAAACACTTTTTAGATTAGAAAAAGTTCCCCTCTCCGTGGAGGAAAAAGTCTGAAAGAAACATTGGCGTCGCGCTTAGCCACTACCCAAAGACTTGCATGAAAGAAACTGCAAGCAAACCACTTTTTAGATTAGACACATTAATTAGGCGGTAATTTTATTATAGAGTATCGATGAAGAAATTTCTTTTGAGAGGGGGGAGGGGGGGCGGCATTGACGTGCTACCGGGGGTGGAGCTTCGACCCTACCCGAAGAATTGTATGAAAGAAACTCTTCACGCAAACAACTTAGATTAGACAAAATTGCCTTTTTATTCAATGTTTACTCGAGAATCAATGACGTCATATTACTGTGTGCACTCTCCGGCTGGATACTATTTTCTTCTATATGCTAAATGTGACGTCATATTTCGTTTTCGTTTTACTATGAAAGTTTTGATTTTGCTTGTGTTTTCTATATAGCGTTCTTGTCAGATACATAGATAGATACACAGATAGATAGACAGACAGCGAAACTATTAGTATATCTATATTTATAAAGCAAAGTGGTAAGGTACACTTCCCGGCGCCGCAGGCGCGTCAAATTTGGCACGATGGTGCATTGGGGCAATGGAATACGAGGGCAGTTGACGGTTGGCCGAAAAGTTTACGGAGAGGGGGTCAAAACTGACCTCGGATGGCCGGCGCCTTATATGGACTATATTACAAAAAACACTTTTGCCGAACGACCCCCCTTGATTTTTTGTGAGGTGGTAGAAGATCGCCTAGGGGTGTCAGAAAAAACTCGGCATATCCGTGAAAAATCTGGAAATGGGTCAAAACTGACCAGTCGTATTTCCCTTTATAATCTTTGTATTTTATAGGAAAAACAGGGTAATTTCAACACAAATTTTGGGATACTCAACCTCTATTTATCTGGTCATTTTTTGCATGCTTCTCTATAGATGAGTAGCTGTATAGAAAAACAGTTTGTCAGACTCAAAGCCCTCGACGAGGGCTAAAAAGTGACCGCGAGTGAAAATCTCATTTTATAAGATATATATAAATAAATTGACGAACGACCCCCCCCCCCCCCCTCCCCCTAATATTTTGTCAAGTCGTAGACCGACACTGGAGGGTAATAAAAAACTTTATTCCCGTCTGAAAAAAACATTTTACGTTCGTTAGATTTTTCCAGAAAACGTGTTTTCTGATATAAACAATTTTCTGTGAAAATGTAAACAAAGACTATGACATTTGGTCTTTGTACAGGGGCGGTAATTTATTAAAGTAATAATTTAAAAATAATTTTTATACTGTTTTAAATGAAAAACAAAAATTACCAAGTATAGGATTCGTTTAAATAAATTTTTTATTATAAATTAATTTACTTATTGTACTGAAATTGTAAAACATTAATTCCAAACGTCAATTTAATATAATATAAGATTGATACTATTATAGAAGCCTTTGCAATTCTAATAACTTTGCGAGTAATAAGTTTGCGAATACATCTCAATGTTTGCATGACCTGAAATTACTCAGACTGTTTAAACTTAGGCCCTAAGCTCTCTATATAACAGCCAATCACCAATTAATTAATCATTCAAATTCTTAACAGTCTTTCTGAAAACCTAAGCGAAGCTAGGCAGTATGCCTAGTACTTTATAAATTCACATTCGTTTTTGAGAAATCGGAAATAGCAAAAATTACTATTTCCGGTTAACGGAAATTACTAAAAATTTGACAGAAGGCAGAGAATACGATCTTTTACCTACATGTGAAATTTCATTTATCATTCTGATAGACTTTTGAAAAATTGAAAGTAGAAATAGTTCCACTTCCGGTTATTGGAAATCATTCAAAAGTTTCTGTTTTTGTGAAATCAATATTTCACGGGAGGTTTAAAGGAAAAAATTGTTTTATGTTCAGCGCCATTTTTTTTCTATCCTTCAAGGCCACATTTAAGAGTTTTACACCGTGGCAAAGCACGTTTAAATTCTTTTGATTATTGTTAGAGCAATTTATTAATGTTGGTTGCACTATAGCCGCGACGCAGTGAAGGCGGCACGGCGTCTTGCTACATTTTAAAAAATACGCTTTTATCTGATTAAGTGTGTTAAATCCTGTGCTGCTGGGTTATCATTTTACAAACGAATTAGAAACAGTCTTAGCGGCGAAATTAAAACACTACTTATAGTCGCTGATGTTTTACTTCCATTCAACACATCTTATTTATACGATGTGCTAAAGCGATTACGCAATAAAGAAAGTGAGATTAATTTTTAAAAACTTTGAGATAAAATGGTATTTTGTTGTTCTTAATTAGAAGAAAAAATGTGTTTACACTTTTCATAATACACATACACAATTATTAAGTATATCTACTTGGTAAAGTATAATACTAAAAAAAATATGTTTTATGTTTAAAATTTTGTTGATTATCATAAAGTCAAATTCATATTTATTAATATCGCCTTCTAGGTAATATATTATATTTAAACTTTTTCGGTGAAACGGCCTTCGGGCAAGGAGCTTTCAAGCATTTGTTGCATGGGGGCAATTGTCCGTTCGGGCTAGGTTGGTATGGGGTTTAAGAGAGTGGTGTGGGGTGTGGTTTATGGTGTCGTGAGTGTTGAGCTGCGTTCTTTTTATTATCTCAACTTCATTCTTTTTAATCCCTGACTTTTTAAATCACTGTTTACTTCAAGAGAATCTTTTAAAAAACCGTTGTTTTATATTTAGCGCCATTTCTTTCTATCCCTTAAGGGTACATTTCAGAGTTTTACACTGTGGCAAAGCACGGGTATGCAGCATTATGCATTATGTTTGTATGTGTATAGCTAAATCAGTATTTACCGACGCATCTTCCATGAGGCGTCCAGAGGTTGTTTGCTTGACACGTGATTGTTCTGTTACCTTGAGCTTTATAGCCTGTTTCACAGATCATACGACAAGTACTTTCGTATCCATAGCTGCACGAACTCCAGATGCCATTCTCTATGATAGGCGGTGAGGGACACTGAATT